TTGAGGATTAGTTGTGGGATTTTGTATTTTTCTCCTCTAGTGATATGTCCCAAGTATGCAATCTTTCTGCATTTGATTGTTGACAGCAATTTTCTGTTTGTTCTTGCTCTGCTTAGAATTTCGTTGTTGGTCACTCGATCCGTCCATGGGACTCTCAGCATCCTTCTGTGAATCCACATCTCAAATGCCTCCAGTCTTCTTTCTGTATTCCTTTTTAATGTCCAGCTTTCCACACCATAGAGGAGAACTGACCAAATATAACATTCGGCCATGCGTTGCCGCAATTTCAAACTAAAATTGTCGTTGCAGAGCAGGGTTTTCATTATTTGGAAGGATGTTCTAGCTGCTGCTATCCTGCATTTAATTTCATTCCCTGAATCTAGATTTTCTGTAATTATGCTTCCCAAGTATTTAAACTGTTTGACCCGTTCAATTTTTTTTGTACTTATTAACTTTGCACAATTATGTCAAATGAGCTAATTTAAATTTTTACATTTTATAATGTAAAAATTAAAATTAGAAAGAAACAATATACACTTCCTTAATCATGAGCGAACTGATTCAAGATGTTTTTAAATTTTTATTTAGTAATTTATCTTTAGAATTAATTTTAATTTTAAATTATCAGTGAATATTTCCGTGAGATAAAGTCTTTATCAGAAATATAAAACGAACGGAAATTGGTGATAAAGTCAGTTAAAATAGAAGTAGAAGCGGCAAGTGTTGAAGTTCAACAAGTAACCGAGTTGGTAAGTATTGGTTTTATATAAAACAGTTTTATTAATTAATTTTATCAAAACGAGTCTTTGCAGCATGTTTTTTATTATAACGTAATTACATTTTTCAAATTTTAAACATATGAAATAAATATTACTGTAACAGAACGGGTAAGTCCACTGTTTATTAACTTTGTAAAGTACAGTAGACTCCCCTATAACATGGTAGATAATTCCGTGTTATATGAATTCTGTGCTGTACGAGTCACTTAGATTTTATAAATACGTGAGCAGTTCTCAGCCCGGCACACGTATTTATATATAAAATCTAAGTGACTCGTACAACACAGAATTCATATAACACAGAATTATCTAAAGTGTTTTAGGGGGTCTACGGTATTGAGTCTATTTCAAAATTCAAATTGTTTATATTTAAATTGATTTGTTTTATGGAATGAAAAATATCAGAGAAATTACTTCTGTTTGTTTTTTTAGCTTTATTGACAGTAAAAGTGTAACAGAGTCATTTGTTTCCGACTTTTTTCCTTAATAATATGATTAGGCGTTAACGTTATTTCTAATTAGTCGAATTACGTTCTGTAATCTCATAATAAGTTATACCAGTGTTTTCTAATCTGTGGTGTGCGACACTATTGCAAGTGGAAATGCAGGCAATTCATACGAATTCTAAAAATCTATCCACACTCTTGCTTAAACTTCAAGTCCCGGCGAATAAAATGCTTTATTTAATACGACAAAATTTTTGTATGTCATGTCATGAACTAAACTGTTAAGTCAGTATTTATATAGTTTAAGTGATTAAAAACGTACTAAATTCTTACCTAATACGTTTGCAAAGAGTTGTCGATGAAGAAATGTTACTGACTAGAAGCGCAGAATAAATTTTTAAAAAAATTTGACTAATTTTTGAAATTTACAACTAATGAAATCTCAACGTCTTGAAAATAAGCATTCCCTTGAAATAATCTGAAAAATAATCGTTTTGTTTCGCTTGCGCTACATAATAACAAAGAAATTGTATTCAATGTTAAAATTCATCTCATTGTGAAAACGTTAACACATTTACCTAGCATTTCATATTTTCGAATAAAAAGAACGAAAAGAAAAGTTTCATTTCGCACAGAAAAACGTAAGATGTCGAAATTTAGATTTCAGTATCAAATCAATACCAGCGTTAATGGTCTCCTGTATTTGTGTGTAATATATATATGATATATTATTATTAATAAAATTAGAGGAAAATCCCAATTCAAAAATTGAATATAATAATATCTGTGGGAAATATACCTATCTAACAGTCTCGAAATGACTAAACGATATAGTCAAGAACTATTACAGATCTCAGAAAGACGTGACTGTATTGACTTCATAAATAAATATAACATTTAATTACTTAATTTCTAAACTTATACCAGTTTCTTACTAATTTATAAATTAATATTAATAGTTTAAACTCAAAATTTATTAGTTTAATCAGCCGTAATATAATTAAAGCTTTCAAACACTTCGGCAGTGTTATTTGAAGTACAAAATAAAACGTCGAAATATCATTTGAGGATTTTGTCATATAATCCTCTAAAATTAACGATTTGTCATGTCCTAGTCTCGTACATTTAACTTTCACTTGTAAAATTTCAGCAATATCTGTACCAGAGGCGAATCCACTGGACTTGCTTAGAATGTGCCATGCTTAAGAGAAAGTTCTGACTGTCAATATATTTTTATATGAAAACAAATATATTAACTTAATATTAATTTCCTCTAACGTGTAAACTCTGTTATCATTTGTGTTTTCTTTTACATTGGCAGCTAGCGGCTAGTCGTTTTAAGTCAGTGAGATGCTTACGGGAACTCGATCGCTTACTCGGGTGGAGGTTTGCCGCGGCAAACAAGTACTGTACATGACATCATTCAAAGCATTTAACACGCCCAGATTGTATCGAAAGCATGCTGTACCCAGTCAGCATACATGTACTGTATACAGAGGCGGATCTACATAGAGATTAATAGGGCTTAAGCCCTGGGTCCCCAATGTCAAGGACCCACAATATATGAATTATGATAAATTTTTAATACATTTTCATCTTATAATATAACAAACATGTTATAATAATAATAATAATAATAATAATAATAAGCGCAAAGCCCAAACGGTTAGGAGTTGAAAATTAAATTTTGGTACAAAGTTAATTAAAACTTCTTATATTTTCTTCCCCGAAGGAAAGGGAGAGGATTAAGGCTTACCCTAAAGTACTCTGCTTCTACAGTACTATTTTAAATGCAGTCTTTTGTGGAAATCGAACATATTTTTAGACTCATCTAAAAATTTTCTAATTAGCCTCAGAAGAGGGTTGACCAATTCTTGCACCCGATGAAAACGGGTACGATCGGCTATAATCTAATAATCTTAACTTTCGCTATCGTTACTTTTTGCCCGAGCAACGTCGGGCTCATCTGCTAGTTATAATATATTTTATATGTAGATATAACGGGCTTTATAATAGTTTATACTTTTTTATTCATACTAAATAACGTTTCTGCCTATTGTTTAGTGCTAGAGATAGTCCTATTGTTCTTACTAAAACTTTTAGCATTCCCAAAAATTTTGGTCACGATTCGCTCCTGATCTATACATTTTTCCATGTACAAATTTACATGGCGTTAATTTTTATCTTAGGCATTTTACATATAATTTTATCTTTATATTTAATTATTTCAGAAATATATTTATTAATAAAACTTTTGAGTAATACAGTGATATTTGTACCTTATTACTATTATAGCAATATGGAGAATAATAAAGAAAAAGACCATCGAATACAAATAAAAATACTCTATATTCTAAACCTGCTGCTCCTCTTGTTTGTCCTGGTGTTTGTCATCATTCATTCATCTCAAAATTCTACTATTCGAATATCTTCACCCGATGTAGAAGTGCGTTATATCGAATCTGAGAAAACTCAAGGAAAGGATGAAAACATTAATCGTGACATTACTCGTCATCGAGTTAAAGTAAGAGAAATGTCTTCTAAAACTGAATGCGGAGAGAAAGACAAAGATGCAGTAATACTGAACGGAAAATGCAGTATAAAAGTAAGTCTATAGTAAATTATATTCTAAATCAATACGATTCAAAGTCATTTTAAAATAAAGTGAAATAAGAAATTATTGAAAATATAAGTAATTACAACAGTGAAAAAAGGGTAGTTATTTGTTCATTTACTATAATTTTCCTCTAATATTTTAGAAATCTGAACTTTGCGAGTATTGTCTTACTGGAGAAGACATTTGTAAAAGGAACACAACAGAAACAGAAGGTACAGTACAATATATACATATATATTATCATATACTTGATATACAATTAAACATTTAGAAACATAAATAAAATAATTAAGTACACTAGATATAACAATGTTTATAGAATGAAAAAACATTCCTGTCCACGTCTATGATGATCAACTTTAAAAAAATATTTTGTTAATAAAATTTTCTTGCTTTGTTCAAAGGAAATGACATTTTGAAGGCAGAAAAAGTAGAAGAACAGAGGCAATTTTGTCTCTTATTTTTGTGTTTCCTTTGTTTTTCTTGTTAACATTTATTTGGAGTATATCAACAAAAAAATAAAAATAAAGAAATGTACTAAATTAGCACACTTTTCCTATTAATTTTTCCTGCCATTTTAAAATCAAATTTAGAATTCCAATTTACATGGGTTCACTTTGAGGCATTTTAATACATTTTCTTATAGTTTATAATTTTATATTCATCGATTAATTCTCTAAAATTTTGTCTTTGGGAAATAACAAATTTATGATACGTTATCAATTTTTTTTCTTCTTTTGACAGGGAGACAAGAGGAAGAAAAGAAAAAACAGAAAAGTAGAGGTAAGGAAAGTCATTATTTTATGATATATTTGTTTATTTTCTTTTGGTTTTTTATTTGATAAATTTTTAATTTTGTATACATTTAATAAGTAGAGCATAGTAAGAATATGGTTTGATAATTAAGTATGGTATCGGAAAAGTGACACGTTTTCATTGTTCAGAAATAATGAAGTGATTGTGAAGAAATTTGAGTTTACTTATTATGTACACGTAAGGGAAAGTATCAGAATCGTGTTAAATTCGACTTTAGGAGAATTTTTCCAACTCTTCACGTTTTCAGAATCCTGAAATTATGTGAATGTCAAAAACAGGAAAACATTCCAGGTGTGTGTTCGCGCTGCCGCGTGTTTATATAGGTTAGTTATGGTATATTAGCATCTATTTCGTTTATTATTTTAGGATGGGATAACCGTTAAGAATCTAAATTTGGCATGGAAGCTTGAGTATAAGGAGGATTGACGTTGATAAATATTGGAAGTTCAAAAGTCAAGGAATCTACAGAAAGCGAAAGAGTCATAGGGGAGACCGGGGCAACTTCGGCATGCGGGGCAAGTTTGTCAAGCGCTTTTTTTTAAAAACAAATTAAAAGGAGACTTTGGTTATAGGTTAGGCAGTTGAGTTTTATTGGTGGCTTGTTGAGTGTAGTGTTTTTATTGTTCTCCAACAAGCGTAGTTGAATTATCAAGCAAATTTTCATTTTCGTTCAATTCCATATAATATTTTTTTTCCATTTATATTGAATTGGCAGGTTTTGTTATAATTCCATGATAACGAAAGTTACTTTTCCTGTTAGAAGGATGTAACTTCAACTTATTCACGTGGCCAGATCGTGGCTTGGCATTCTGTTCTCAGGGTTGTACTTAATGTTTCGAAATCATGACTAGCGGGGTAAGATCGGCAACATAAAGCCACATTAGAAGCAAAGGATAAAAATCAAACAGATGATAAATGAAAACATGTTTGCATTTGTTATTCATGTATATATGTCTTTGAACTTGCATTTCGTTGTAATAATATTAAATGGGTGTTGGATTTGTATTTCTTTGTTTTAATAGTGAATTCCAACTTATACATTGTTAATAACATAATTTTATATACGTGCCTATCTTGCCCCATTACTGTTGCCCCTATACCAGGGGCAACTTTAATAAAAATAATTAAAATAATTACAACTTTACAAAAAGAGAGAAGTTGCCGATCTTGCCCCTATACCCGGGGCAACTTCGTCAATTTCTCTCTTCTTGTAAAGTTGTAATTATTTTAATTATTTTTATTTCCAAACTGATTTTAACCAGTTCTATAGTAAGGTAACATTCCAATAGACAATATGCAAAGCTTTTTTTTCAGTTTACAGCAGTATTTATTACACAAAATTTAAGTAAAGCTTAACATGCCGATCTTGCCCCGGTCTCCCCTATATCATATTTCGAGAGACATCGAAATTGACGATATCACTCGACATTAGAATTTATAATTTTTTTTTCACAATACTCAAAATTAAGTCTTTTTACATTTTATAATAACTGATAATATAAAAATTTTAAATATAATATCTTATAAAAAATGGCACCACGCACTATTTTATTTATTAGGATTAATAATATAAAAGTTATTTTTTCAAATATAAGCTCGTAAGCAGCAGGGTAAGATAGGAAACTCGTTGCTACATTTTTTTAAACCGACGTTGACGTAGATTATGCGATCAACGTCAACGTCGGTGGAATGATGCTGGCCGTTCCAAACGCCATTGTCAAACTTCTAGTCTTACAGGATGGCGACGCTGAACGTCGAATGTACTGTACAGTACGTTTTCGCGTTGAAAACGTCGGCTGCAACCTCGCTATTCTAATTGATTAATTACGGACAGCAGTTTATATAAACTACCGTAATCAAATGAAATATAAATGTATTTAGTTATACAGTAAGTAAATAGATCGCAAGATTAAGTATTCTTTTTATTTAAAGTTTTTCATAGTTTTCCCACTCTAGAAGGCCAAAATTATAGATGAATGTATGAAAATTGTGAAACTTTTCAGCAGTATTTTTATATATGGGGACATTCATTTTATTTAGTTTCGGTGATTAATTAAAGATCAAGGGATGCAGAAATAAGAACATAGACACTTGTCATATTTTCAGTGGAGTCACATTTAATGAATATTTTATCCGTTATCAGCATTTACAATTTTTAAGAATCTCGTTTCTACCTCAAGATTTTGGCTTTTAAAAATAATTAAAATGACATCATATTATGGTGAAAGCTGATCGAAACATTTTAAATCTGAATTTCTTCTATGAACATAATTATTAATTCGATATTTCTATTTTCAGATTGCATTCTCGACAACGTTACAGATTACCAGATCATTCCATTCCCAATACATAATGGGATCGAAAGACTAGCTGTTGCACAATTTGAAGAGGATTCTGAAGGAAATCTGGACATTTGGCTGAAGGAATTTGAAAATCCTGTTTTAAAAAAATACAGATTAAATGAAAACGGAACTTATGAAATTTTCAAAGAAATTCGTTTTCCTGACACATCGACAGATTGGGGAATTGTATACAATGGAAGTTATTACTGTCGATATTATTATGAACGCGCAATTTTCAAATACAACCTCCAGACTTGGGAATCGAAAATAGGAGATGAAATTAGTCATGTTCCAGAAGTTGATAACATGTATTTCTTCACAGACGAGGACGATATTTGGATAATTAGCTTAACAAGTTTTCATATTGACAATTCTGACGAGGCGCTTCAAATCGATCCAGAGAGTTTAGAAATTTTGTCTAAGCAAAAAATTGTTCTTGGAAATTGCATGCTTGAATATGTATTCGTTGCTTATGGCAAAGTATATTGCTTGAGTGGTTCGGGAGGTCGAGAAATTTCTTTGTTGTGGGATATGACCAAAGAAGAAAATTTAGACGTCATTATAAATATTAATAGAAAAGAACCTCTTAATGCTTTTAATCTGTTCTATAATTTTAAAGAACAACATCTTTATGTACTTCACGGATATTCAGAATACTTGAATTACACTCTTCATAGATACAAATTACACTTTAATTGTTCGTCTGAGGAGTGAACAATTGCATCGATATGTATATTNTGCGAATATTGTCTTATTGCGAAAGAAATTTGTAAAAGAAAAACAACAAAAACGAAAGGTACAATATAAGAGTATACATATATATTATCATATATTATTACAATTATATACATAAACATACATATAATTATTAAACGTATAAAGAATTAGAAATAAAATAATTATGTTAATTACACTGAATATAAGAATGTTTGTAGATGAAAAGACATTCCTCCCTACGCCCATGATAAACAATATTATAAAAATATTTTGATAATTAAATTTCCTCGCTTTGTTCAAAGGAAATACAGATTTGAAAACAGAAAAACTGAAAGAACAAAAGCAATTTGGTTTCTCTTATTATTCTGTTTCCTTTGTTTTCTTTGTTAATCTCCTCCACCCGGTACGTTTAGCGTATATAAAGCCTATCAAGGAAAGATAAGTATAAAGAAGTGTACTAAATAACCAGTCTTTCGTAGTAAAATTTTCGTGAAATTTTAAAATTAAATTTAGAGTTCCAATTTACATAGGTTCACACGGAGGTATTTCAATACATTTTGTTATAGTTTATAATTTTATTTTCATAATTTTAAATTCAATAATTTTATATTCATCGATCAATTTTTTAAAGTCTTGATATTGAGGAAATAACAAATTTCTCATACATTATTGAAAATTGTTCTTGTTGATAGAAGAACGGGAGAAAGAAAAGGATGATTCTGAGGAAAATAAAAAACAAGAAAATAAAGGTAAGAAAAGTTATTATTTTATCACACATTTCTGTTTTTTTTTGCAAGGGGAAATGCAGCTTTTACCAAATTATCATGTTTTATCACCGATTATTGTTTATAGCATCGAATGCACCTTTATTATATTCGTATTATTATTTTAATCTTTTTTCGAAAATACTGTGAATCATTTTTACGACTACAGACGTAAGAATTCATAATAGAAATCTATATTATAATTTTGTATTATTTTTGTGATAATTTTAATTTTCAGAAAATAATACAAAAAAGTGTCCAGTGTTTGTGACGTGAGCGTAACGCATACGTTAACGCTAGGATCTTATAAATAGTAACGCTAAACTTAGTAAAATCTGTTTATTGTAATTACGGATATTGTTGTCAGTGGTCGAAACTTATATACTTTGATACGAATTAATTATAATGCACGATCCCGAGACACACTCAAAAGTCTTTAGAAGTTATAATCCCTGATCTCTGATCCACAGACTATAAAAATAAAGCTGTATTCGATGCTTTAAAATAAAACATAATTTAAGTCATTAGCAAAAATCNGCACCTTTATTATATTCGTATTATTATTTTAATCTTCTTTCGAAAATACTGTAAATCATTTTTACGACTACAGACGTAAGAATTCATAATAGAAATCAATATTATAATTTTGTATTATTTTGTGATAATTTTAATTTTCACAAAATAATACAAAAAAGTGTGACGTGAGTGGTCGAAACTTATATACTTTGATACGAATTAATTGTGATGCACGATCCCGAGACACACTCAGAAGTCGTTAAAAGTTATAATCCCTGATCCCTGATCCACAGACTATAAAAATGAAGCCGTATTCGATGCTTTAAAATAAAACATAATTTAAGTCATTAGCAAAAATTACTAGGTGACCAGGAGAATTATCTAAAATTAATAAAATAATAAATTCCAGATTTGTAAAGTAAAATGAATTGCTTGTGTTTTGATATTGCCAGTCCGAATTTACTCGATCAGGAAGTTTTTATTCAAGTGATTAAAAACATACTCGGGCCTACCTGATACATCTAAAAAAAGTTGTCGATGAAGAAATGTTACAGACGAAAATCGCAGAACAGTTCGACGAAGTTTTGCAGATTATAACTCATGTACCATACTGTAAAATGAAAATTCAGATCCACCAACGGCCAAGCGGTTCCGTTCTCTGAACATTGGAAGATCAGTCGTGGACTCACTCCTCTCCAGACCGGCTAGCCATGTAGTGTTTTCTGGGTTTTCTCCACTTTTGTAACGCCTGAATAGGGGCTAGTTGCCTTTAAAAAGACCTCCCTTAGTCATATCGTCTAAGTGTTGCGTTACCGTCACTTAACTAAACAAACAAACACTTTGGTACTGTTATTTTAAATACAGAATAAAATATACAGATAGCATTAGAGGATTTTGTAATACACCCCTCTGAAATGAACGATTAGTGATGTCATTGTCTGCATAAATAAGACTTTCAGTTGCAAATTTTACCATGTAAAAATTTATATGGCTTTAATTCTTATCTCGAGCAATTTTCGTGCAATTTTATTGTTATACTTTTTATTTAATTTTTTCAGAAATATATTTGATATGAAATTTTTGTGTAAAATAATAATATTATTTCCTTATCAGGACAATATCATTATGGAGAATAATAAAGAAAAAGGCTATCAATTTCGAATAAAAATACTCTATCTTCTGAACCTTCTGCTCTTCTTAGTTGTCCTCGTACAATCGTTCATCATTTATTCACCTCAAAATTTTAATATTCGAATGGCTTCACCCGATATAGAACAGCGCTATATCAAATCCGAGAAAACTAGAGGAGAGGATGCAGACATTAATCGTGACATTGCTCGTCATCGAGTTAAAATAAGAGGAATTTCTTCTAAAACTGAATGCGGAGAGAAAGTCGAAGATGCAGTAATGCTGAATGGAAAATGCAGTATAAAAGTAAGTCTATAGTAAAGTGTATTCTAAATAGCACTTCAAAATAAAATAAAATAAAAAATTACTGAAAATGTAATTAATTACAACATCAGAGAAGTGTAGTTATTTCTTTATTTACTTACATTTTATTCTAATATTTTTTTATGGATGTAGAAATCTGAACTCTGCGAATATTGTCTTATTGCGAAAGAAATTTGTAAAAGAAAAACAACAAAAACGAAAGGTACAATATAAGAGTATACATATATATTATCATATATTATTACAATTATATACATAAACATACATATAATTATTAAACGTATAAAGAATTAGAAATAAAATAATTATGTTAATTACACTGAATATAAGAATGTTTGTAGATGAAAAGACATTCCTCCCTACGCCCATGATAAACAATATTATAAAAATATTTTGATAATTAAATTTCCTCGCTTTGTTCAAAGGAAATACAGATTTGAAAACAGAAAAACTGAAAGAACAAAAGCAATTTGGTTTCTCTTATTATTCTGTTTCCTTTGTTTTCTTTGTTAATCTCCTCCACCCGGTACGTTTAGCGTATATAAAGCCTATCAAGGAAAGATAAGTATAAAGAAGTGTACTAAATAACCAGTCTTTCGTAGTAAAATTTTCGTGAAATTTTAAAATTAAATTTAGAGTTCCAATTTACATAGGTTCACACGGAGGTATTTCAATACATTTTGTTATAGTTTATAATTTTATTTTCATAATTTTAAATTCAATAATTTTATATTCATCGATCAATTTTTTAAAGTCTTGATATTGAGGAAATAACAAATTTCTCATACATTACTGAAAATTGTTCTTGTTGATAGAAGAACGGGAGAAAGAAAAAGATGATTCTGAAAAAAAGAAAAAACAAGAAAGTAAAGGTAAGAAAAGTTATTATTTTATCACACATTTCTGCTTTTTTTTCCTTTTCTTTCCGGTTGTTTATTTGATAAAATTATAATTTTGTATACATTAAATAAGATTTAGTAGAGTACAGTAAGAATATGGTTTGTCAATTAAGTATAGTATCAGAGTAGTGTCACGTTTTCATGTTCAGGAATAGATAAAGAGAAAATTTTACTTTACCGGTTATTATGTATTAATAAGGGAAAGATTTAGAATCATGTGAAATTCGACTTTTCGGGGGTTTCTGTTGCAAATCTCCACGTTTTCAGAGTACTGAAACCAAAAAAGGTTAGAAACAGAAAAAAATCCCAGGCCTGTTCGTGTGTTTATGTAGGTAAGTTGGCGTATGTTGCGTTGTATTTCGTTCATTATGTTAGGATGGAATAATTGTTAAGAACCTAAATTTGGGATGGTAGCTTGTATATAAAGTGCATTAACGTTAAATATCCGAGGTTAAAGTCAAAGAATTAAAAGACGGAGAGAGAGAGTCATGTATCATATCTCGAGAGGGATCGAACGTGGAGATTTCATTTATCGTTAGCATTTATTCAATTTTTGTTTATAAAACTTGTCACATCTCTCAAAATTGAGCTTTTTTTATTTTATAACAATTAATGATATAAAAATTTTAACATAATCATAACAAATTACTCCACACGCAATTTTATTTATTATGATTAATAATATAAAAGTTATTTTTTAAATTAAAAATCGTAACAGCAGGATAACTTAGGAAACTCGTTGCTAGATTTTTTAAAACTGAATTTTTTAATTGCTGAAATTATTCTAATTGGTAAATTAGGGACAGAAGTTTATATAATTTAATATAATCAAATAAAATATGAATTTAAGTAGATATACAGTAAGCAAAGAAATTGTAAAATTAAATAATTTATTTATTTAAAGTTTCTCAAACTTTCCCTACTTCAGAAGCCCAAAATTATAGATGAACGTACGTAAATTGTGGGACGTTAAGCAATATTTTTATATATGGGGACATTCATACTGTTGAGTTTCGGTGATAAAAGCTCGAGGGATGCGGGAAAAAAACATAGACACGTGTCATATCTTCAGTGGAGTCATATTTAATGAATATTTTTTTCGTTATCGGCATTTATAATTTTTATGAAGCTCATCTCTAACTTCAATATTAAGCCTTTCTCTTTTTCAAAACAATTAAAGTGGCATTATATTGTAGTAAAAGCTGATTGGAACATTCCAAATCTGAATTTTTTCTATAAATATAAATATAAATATTAATTTGATATTTTTCTTTCAGATTGCATTCTCGACAACGTTACAGATTACCAGATTATTCCATTTACAATATTTAATGCGAGCCGAAGACTCGCTTTTGCACAATTTGAAGAGGATTCTGAAGGAAATTTTGACATTTGGCTGAAGGAAAGAGAAAAACCTGTTATACAAGAATATAGATTAAACGAAAACGGAACTTATGAAATTCTTAAGGAATTTCATTTCTCTGACACCATGACAGATTGGGGAATCGTATACAATGGAAGTTATTACGGTCGACACGATTACGCACACAAAATTGTCAAATACAACTTTCAGACTTGGGAATCCAAAATAGGAGATAAAATTCTTCATATTCCAAATGTTGATTACTTGTTTTTTTGCATAGACAAGGACAATATTTGGGTATTTAATTTAATAGATCATTATCTTTATATGATTCACGAGGTGCTTCAAATCGATCCGGAGAATTTAGAAATTTTGTCTAAGCAAACAGTTGATCCTGGAAGTTGCCTGATGCGATATGCATTCGTTGCCTATGGCAGGGTTTATTGCTTCGAAGATTTGGAAAACGTAAGGATTTCTTTTTTGTCGGATAAAACCGAAAAAAAATCCATACATTACTATAGATATTGATAAAGAACAAAGTCTTAATGCCGTTAATTAGTTCTACAATTTTAAAGAACAGTATCTTTACGTACTTTACAAATCCTACAAACCCATGAGTTATACACTTCATAGATACAAATTACACTTTAATTGTTCGTCTGAAGAATAAAAAGTTGAATCGAGATGTGTACTATTTTGTTTCATTATAAACTTTGCATATAAAGTCTTTTCAATTGATTAATGTAATAAATAATTTTTATTTTGAATTTATCATTTTTAATATACCTTGTGTGTGAAATTTTGATAAATATTTTATTTCTTTTCGTTTGTCTGAATTGAGTCACTCTGAATGGGGCCAAGTAAATCTCCTTTCATTAGAATATATGTTAAGTAGAAGGTGAGCTTGGCGTTGCTTGGGCAAAAAGTAATGATATCGAAAAATAAGGCCGGATGGCCGAGCGGTCAAGGTCCCTACCGCTCTGGAGGACCCGGGATCGAATCCGGACGGGTCAAGGAATCCCCAAAAAGTTTTCGGGGGAGTGGTCCGTTCGGATATGTCGGGCCCCCTCCCTCACCACCCAATCGTCCCATTATGGGTTCGGCCCGGCCCACGTGCCCTCTTAGTGCTCACGGGGCGAAAAGAGTATTAGAAAAAAAAATAGAGAAAATTAAGATTATTATTACATTATATTCGATTTTACCTGTTTTCACCGATTGCATGAATTAGGTCCTATTCCGAGGCTAATTAGAGAATTCATAGATAGGTCTAAAAATATGTTCGATTTTCCGTAAAAAGGCAAAAAACCGGATTTAAAATAGTACAGTAGAGGCCGAATACTTCAGGGTAATCCTTAGCCCTCTTCCTCTTCCCGCGGAGAAAAGTTTCCATAACTCTTTTCCTACTGTGCATTCTCATGGCGTAGTCTACCCTGTATACCAAATTTCTGCTATTAACTTCTAACCGTTAGGCTCTGCGTTTATTATTATTATTGTTATTATCAACCCATCTCGATTAAGAATATATTATAAGATTTGTTTCTATCAGAAGACAAAGCTTTTTTTTAATTTTTATTTGCCGTTCATTTCAAGTTTGAAACTTCCGGCGAAAACACTCCAGTTTTTACAAATGTATTTTTTTAAAATTTATCAGGAAGTAGTTTGTAAAAACTATAAAAATACATAACACATTGTAGTTTACATCAAGGAAATTACCAATTCTTAGATAGTCCTAATATAAGTAATTTCGTTCTGTTAGACAACTTTCTTCTAGAAGAAAATGAAGAATCGTTACATATAACCAAAGCTGTGAAAAATTCCTTAAAACAGTCGTAAAGAAATTCGTAATACTTCTCATTATCGAAGCGTGGAGATTCAACGAGGATACCCATTCCCACGATGAAGTTAAGATCTTCTTTATTAGGGAAATGCTTTTCCAAAATTATCCGTGAAACTTTACCTGAAAAACTTGCAAGCTTTCCCAATTTAATTAACAAATTTTCTCCTAAGAAATATTTTCCTCTCTGGAAATTTTTTACATTTGCATACTTGCGTATGTAACTTTCAGAAAAGACATCAAATATTCGAATGAACAAGTCAGTCTTTGTTTCTTCGTAATTGATTCTGGTGTGTTTGAAGACACAGCACAACACGTGTACCAACAGAGGACATCTATTAAATTCAAAATTAAATCTACCTTCCAACAATAAGTTGTTCAATTCAATTTGTTTTAAAGCATCTTTCTCATCTCTAAACATTAGTTTAATATACTGAGCTCGTTCTACATCCCCGAAACCGTGCAACAACAAATGCATTTGCACGTACCCTTTAATGCATTCAGCGGCTTCTGGTCGACTGGTGACGAGGATCGTCATTCGAAGAAATGTAAAATGAATCTTTTCTAATAAATTTTAATACAGATTTTTTGTTAGTTGTCTCGTCAAATCCATCCAGAATAACCAACAGATTTAATTCTTCCGCTTCCAGAATTTCTTTTGCTTCTTTACGCGATTCCGGAAATAATTTATCAAAAACAGCATCTTTTACATTCGTTGTACCAAGATGGGATAAACTTATGACCACGACCAAATCGAAATGTTTCACGTAATCTTTTACATTTCCATCGCAAGACCAATCGTACGCGATTTTCTTGCAAAGAGTGGATTTTCCGTATCCCGGATTTCCAGAAACCAAAATACTTTGATATCTGTTATGCTTATCGGCAAATAACTCTTGTGATTTTACTTTTTTTGTAACATTTCCTTCGAACAGAAGTGCTTTTTCCAGTGGCAAATCGAAATAGTAATCTTTTATTGGAAAATCGTAGATGTTTCCTTCGAAACAGAACGATCTCATACACTCAAACTCGGTTTGATAATAGTTTCTCACTCTTTCCTTACATGCTGAAACTACATCTGCAACGAAAAAAGAAAAGTTAATAATTTACAAAATTTAAGAAAATTAATTTTATTGTCGAATGTATTTATCATAGAAACTTAATGTTAGTGCAACTGAAAAAGAATTGACAATACATGTGCCAAATTTTCGTTCGTTTACTTTTACCCATATACACGTAATTGTAAATTACAATTTCATATAGATGCGAATTATACGTCGAATTTTACCAAAATTACAAATTGACTCTTACTTAAAAATGACAGCTCCGTAATGTTCCGTAATGAGAATAATTTACTTTCGTTCTAGTATTTAGCTATGAGTTATAAGCCACCGCGGGTTATACACTCGAAAACCTAAGTTTTTTAAAAACATTATTCTGATACTTGCCTTTTCTCGATGCTGATTCTGCTGTATTTTTCTCCTCAGACATGCAGTAGTAATTTCTTTTTGACTCTAGTCCCAGGTGAGCAATTCCGACTTTCTTCATTATTATATTATTTACTGCTTTCCTTGCACCTAACAATAGAAATTATAAATTTATGAAATTGTTTCACATTTTATATAAAATATTCTGTGTTGTCTATAAAACAATGATCCATTGATGTCTTATAAACAATAATTGAATAAAAATGAATATCAGTTACATAAACTGAAACAGTAAGTTTTACTGCTTTGGTATTGCTTCTACTTTACGTGTAATTATTTCTGCGTTATTGCTGGCCTACAATTTCAAAAGTTATTTAATTTAACCGAAAGTGACGTTATATCAATTCAAACATTTATCCCCTAAAAATGTTAGATAGAAGACCTGCACGACTCTATTGTTAAAGAAAAAGTATAATGTACATGGGCAAGCCACTACTAATTTAAGCTGATCTGAGTGCAGTTCTAAAGGCAAACCATTATAATATTTTGACAATATACTTGAGTATTATAATACATATATAATAGTCATACGTGACGCCATATTTTAGAGAAGAATCGTTGCTGACGACGATGCACTTTTCGTCAGTATCTCTCGTGTCTCCTTAAGTGATTGACCCTACATTATAATTTCTTAATACAGCTACTGTTTAAACATAATGCCTCTTCTCTTAAAGTTTAATTCAGAATAGCACGTTAATAATAAAATTTGTTTACAATTCTCTCTTACTGACTAATTCTCTATATAATACAGTATTTGATAAACTATTATTAATATTATACTAACCTGTGGCACAATAAGTGAATGACCGTTCTCGATTAACTAAATCATACATGCCAATTTTGACTAGGTACTAACAAGAGCCAGAAGAAGCACGGTGTAGAGTTATTAATGTCGATTCATTACGAATATTTTTAGCGCGGATTATTTAGTTATTTTAAAAAATAGACTGTCAAAATAAGTTAAAGATAAAAAAAATGTAACCAGTCCAGAAAATAAAATGACTTTTGGGCTGAATTCTTTACGGCCATTACACAAGGTCATTATGTAGCCTATAGGCTCACATTTCTTAAGTAGAAATTCAAAAATAGAAACTATATTGGTCGTCTTTAAAACTCTGACTCACACTCTCGGTCCAGATATGGCACTCATCAATAGCTAATTCCTTCAAATGAAACATAGACTGTAGTGGCAACACTGATAATAATCGGGGAAAACAGGTCCCTACTGTACAGGTAGAGGGGCGCACCTCTGAAGGAGTAAACGAGTTAATCAATGTCAAGTGTACTGTGTCTGTACATCCTGATATGTACAGTACAATAAATCACACATTTGCATCGCACTTCTAAGTCTAAGGTTGTTCCAGTGTAATTAGTCGAAAGTGTAATTACACTGACACAACCTTAGTTAAATCTAAATATTTAATATAAGTAAATGATATTAGCACATGTTACAACACCAAATAAAGGTAATACTATATCGAAGTAAGTTAAATGATGTAAATTAATAAAAAAAAATTAAAAATTAATACGAGATGCACTTCCACGTGCACAGTGATTTCATACACCTGACGAATAATCTTAAAAGTAACCTCATTTCGATGAAATTTTAACTTATCAATTAAAAAACATAGTTTTAACCGCACATACCTTTTAACCACAACGATAAAATTAGCTGATTGATTGAATAAATCGTTCGCAAAATTCGCAATATAACAATTGCTATATTGTGTTTTATGTTTAATGTTCTGTGATTTTAAACAAGAGAAAGAATCTGTGGACTTTCACATTTTGTATATTTTATTTAGATGTCATAGTTGCAAGTACAGTTCAATAATTTTGCAATTCTCGGATATGTCTAATACGTTATTATTCCAGGAACGTTGATCGTTCTACGTACAGTCCAATCTGTCATTTTTCTTTATTAGTCATACATTTTAATTTTGAAGACATTCAAACTCGCATTTTCTGATTGCAAACAATAGCGTGAAAATTGGTCAACAGAATACAATAGTGTAGAAAAAAAAGGACAATTAACTGAAAATAAAGAGAATGTAAATTTTTAAAATTTTAAATTTTCTTACTTCTGAATTTACTTTAAAAAATAAATATAGAATTAAAAATTTGAAAAACAAGTTGCATGACTTTCTCGGCTGTTAGGAAATTTTAGTTAAAAGTGACTTTTATATTATTAATCGTACTAACAATAAATATTGTGTGAGACTCCATCTGTTATGAGATTTTATCATAAAAATTTTTATATAATTAATTATTATAACATAGCAAAACCTTTCATTTTTAGGATAAAAACAGGTTTCATAAGTAGTTGTAAATGTAATAACGAGTAAAATCTTCCGATTCCATTGAAGATGTTCGATGAAATTTGAGAGCACATATGGAAATCGTAGGTGTAGGAGGCTTTGATTATTTATATGTAAACTTCTGATGCAAACCGGAAGTTACGCTGTTTCAATTGAAACGTTTTCCCTCAAAGGTGTTAGATAGATGACCCGCACGACTCTATTGTTATAAGAAAAGTATAATGTACTGGGAAAGCCACTACTAATTTGAAGTAAAGAGGATATATTTTACATAAAATTAATTAAAACTATAATTAAAAATTGCAGCCAGACATTTTGACGATGTCGCAATAAATAATTGCGCGTTGGTACGAATTTTACGACAGTCAATGAAAATAAAATGTCAAATCATATAAGTGTGGTTACAAGTTAATGTTTTGAATCCTTAATAGTAAAAAAATTATCAATCTATAGTTTAATTATTTACAAAATATTAACAACGAAAGGGTAAAGAGTTCAAAAAATTAAGCACATTTTACTCATCACTTTCATGACTGTTATGTATATACAGCAAGCAAAAGTATTGGAATCGTGTCAAATTTGACTCTCTACGTTTTAGGCAAATCTCCAAAATAAAGCTTTTAACTATTTCATATTAATTAATTAAATAAAAAATATTTTAAATAAAATATTAAAAGACATAACGCTACACGCAATTTAAATTATTTTGCTAGGAAAGATACGCAACTGATTGTTGGAATTTTGTATTTTGTAATTAGTAATAACAGAAACAGTTTGTAGACTTTAATATATTTTATTTAAGAGACATTTATGCGAAGATTGCAATTACAGTTGAAATTCTCGGATAATATCGATAAACCACCGTCCATTGTTTTTATTTGTTTGCATTTTTACGATCTTTAGACACGAAAATATATTTAAATTTCAGATAAAATGAATATTTCTGTAATCTGACATTCTCATACCTAGAATAAAAGCACTTATTGCCTTATTATTTCATTGACCTATTAAATTCGAGTCTCACTGGAATGCGTTGCTTGATACAAATAAAAAAATTTTTTTTAGTTCTCTTCGTTCTTTGCCTCTTATTAAGGCTTATCCGCCTTAATTAGTGACAAAGAACCAGCATTTGAAGCTTGTTTTAAAATTATATCTCCACCATGGCATCATATAAAGATTTTATTAGTTGTTAACATTTACAATTTATACAAAACTCATATCATCCTTCAAAATTTATGCAGAAAGATATGATCGTTAATTCTTTATCTACCGATGAAACACTTCGTTGCAGTAAAATTTCTTATTATTACTTTTTCGTTCACAAGACATTTTAAATGTCTCCATACAAAACAGTAAACATAACGTAAGCATGTGTGGTGTTTGTACACACATCGCGTGGTTCCATATACTTTCGTGAGTTAAAGGAAAGCATTTATATGACATTTCATTAAGTGGCATTCATATAAATCGTATTCGATTATTTATAAATAACAATGAATATTGGATATTTTATTAAACAATGACATATTATTCTAGTCGTTATGTTGTTTTTACTTTCGTGTCCTCAGCAAATACAGTATATTGTCAAAAGGTTTCTACGATAAATGATGTATTTGGTCGTTCTCGTGAACAGTTAAGTAACTTCTACCGTATACCAAATTTAGCAAGCATAATTTCTGGATTTTATGCTTACTTATTTTAAATGATTTTGTAAATAAACAAAAGTTATTTCTTATTATGTATAATCTCTACAAATATAAAGTTAAAATTACGTTTTATCTTTATTATATAGCATCAGAAAATTTACTCAATAATCTATGCTATGTATCTGAATTGTAAAAAATAATGATCTTCTAACGGTAGATTAATTAAATTCTTTTAACAAATAAATAATATCTAAAATATCGAACTATATCAATTTTTATTGATATTTTTAATTTGTTACTTTCAGTTCAACGACCTTCGGTTTCAGTGCGAAAATTACAGATTACCGATAAAATTATTCAACTATTTGCTCGTAAATCAAATTCATGTTATTAAAATTAGTTTTTGAAACGTCAATTAATATTAACACAATCGAGATTCATATACAATCGAGATTCATATAAAATGTAGACAACAGTAAAATCAGGAAAAGACTAGCAAGACGGGTCTTCACACTAAATAAAGGAAAGATGATGCTCCCTTAATCCACACTTAACAGTTGTAGACTCAATATGTATAGTCAAATCAGTAGCACATCCATAATCACAACACAAGAAAACACAATCTTACGATAATCTAGGCAATAACACGTAGCACATACAGACGTTATTCATTATCACTCCGAAAAAGTGTGCTTCACCAGGATGGAGTACAACACATCCAGCAGAGACATTTAGATCCACTGGGTTCTGTATAGTATGAGCTAACAATTATTATTTGTAGCCTCGTGTCTACGGTTTAATGAGTTTTTAACATGTAAATAATGTCTTAATTTTGCTAGTTGGAGTTCAACAACAACGCAAAATTTTTGAGCAAACGTAACATAGAATTCAAAAAATAAATCGAATTTAAATACAAATGTTCGATTATGACTCCATTTATTTCAAATAAACAATAGAATACATCAGAAAAACTGTAATTTATATTAACAATGCATTCAATAAAGACAATTTCAACAACTAAATTCAGCTTATAANTATGCCTGGAATTTTCATTAGAAAAGATCGTTCTGTTCAATTACGAAATGGAAGACACGTTAAGGTTTTACATCAAAATGTTTAATATTAGCATTTTATTTCTCTGTTTCAGTTACTCGTATTACTTATCGACATTGTCGAGAAAGGTAAGTAACGTTTTTAAATTAATTTGATGTTTTTCATTTACGATTAAACAGTGTATAAAAATTTCTAGACGTAATATATTATCAGGAAATTGCTTGGAATTGCTCGCAGGTATATAATTATGAAAACTGAATGCTTTTCTTAGGCTGGATGTGTACTCATTCCTTATATTTGCCATCTCCAGCATAAGAAGAAAACTAATTGTTTTTCACTTTCCCAGCCATTATACATAGCAGAAGTTATAACCCTTAAGTATTTTAGACTTAGGGCACTTTGACACGTCGAGAAATGCAAGATAGTTTGAGGATTTCTTTTGTATATAGGATGTTAGTGTATTTGTGCGTAGCAAGAGATGATTTTGTTTATCTACATAAAGCAAATAAATTCTGTATTTTGAATATAATTGCATGAAACAATTTTCTTCAATTGAGAATTGACGTTATTAAATTTTAATAGTCGAGGGGTGGGTGGATAGAGGAAGAAGCGTCATATCCTGAGTTAGGTAGATATTCATGAAAATTTTATACGTTCATTAGCAGTTGTAATTGTTTTAATAAAACTAGTTTTTACTTTCAGAATTGAATATCGTAAAAAGTTTCTTAATTATAATATAATTGTAATAAAAGTTGTGCTGGTGTATATCTTAGTATTCTAACAGACACCAGCACAATTTTTAAAGTTTCGCTGAGAAAGTTACGAAACTCCTTGCTGAATTTTGTACATTTTTTATATTTTTCTAACAGTTTTCCTTAGAATTTATTTTAGTATTTCTGGATTATTTTTAATACAGAATTGCATATTTTTCACATGTTTCTCGCAGGAAATGGATATCTGCACCATATTGTACGATAGATACTTTCAATGCGATAGTGAGGACGATATTCTCATGGTAATATTATTA